ATATTTTGACAATGTGGAGGAGAGATGTTAGAAGCAGCAGTTGCTAACATGAACTTATTCGGCAGAGTGGCTGCTTGTGGGGTGATCTCTGAGTACACGAATGCTAGCAAAAGAGCTGCTCCCAATATGCTAGATGTTGTGTACAAGAGAATCAAAATTCAGGGATTTTAACCCGATCACTTGAATTGTATGCAGATTTCATTTCAACGATAAGTGATCACCTCCGAAATGGCAAAATCCAGTACCTTGAAGACATATCAAATGGTGTGGAGAGCATCCCCTCCGCTTTCATAGGACTCTTTCAGGGTGATAACATTGGAAAGAAGATTGTTTGTGTTGCACAAGATTGAAAAGGAAGACAACCCATTGTTCTTGATTTGTTCTCACTGGCAATGGCGTGCCTCATGTAAAATAGCTTGCGTTTAATAATCCAGTAAAACTTTCCCAGCGATCAATTGATCCCCATCTATACAAATTTTATGGGGCCTTCTGTCTACAATTTTTTACCTAATAAGTCTCTTCAAATTTATAATTTTATGATACAATTAACTTTTGAGAATGTTTGATATTGTTGATACAGAATTCTACACCAACTAGCGAGATTCGATCGACCTTGTCAGGATCGGAACTGATGTGTGTGTGATTAATAATAATCAGCGATGAGTGCTTATAAAATGCAATAAAAGAAAGGCAACAGGATTTTTAAAGTGGTTCGGGGAGGTTAACAGTCTACATCCACTAATTTGTCTTATTCGCTATGTGAGCTTACAGTGCTATTTCTATTAAAATTTTGTAACTCCTCCCTCACCGTTTGAGGGGGCTTATATACAAAATTTGTATAAAAGAAAGAGTGAAATCAAGGGGATTACAATTGATTTGAATCGTAATCTCGATATCCTCGCGATTGGGCACTGTGATTGCTCATCTCGGGCATCGAACACTAGGGGGCCTATGTTGTGTATGATTTTTTCACCATGCTCGGGTCATTGCGAAGATATAGATTGACCCAGAACCAACTTGGCGACGATGACTGAGCGACCCAACATAAGCTCGTCGAGCCGTAACTCAACTCAGCATAAGCCAGTCGTGAACAATCTGAGTAATCATGCAATCAATCTCTGGATTGCTTCAAATCCCAGATATTACAGAATGACCAAGTCAACAATTATCACTGCGCAATCACAGTGCCCAATCGCGAGGATATCGGGATTACAATTGAAATCCCCTTGATTTCACTCTTTCTTTTACACAAATCTTGTATATAGGCCCCCTCAAACAATGAGGGAGGGGCTACAAAATTTTAATAGAAATAACATTGTAAGCTCACATAGCGAATAAGAAAAATCAGTGGACGTAGGCTGTTAACCTCCTGGTGGGTGGTTTCCACGTTCTCGTGGTTTCCTATGGTAGTTTTCGTTCTGGTGTACACCATTTTGGGCCTAGAATTGGTGAATTGCGGTGAACGTTTGCCAGAACCTTTGAGATGTTGTTGGCCCTCCTTCTAGCTCCAAAATGTTGATACAAAATTATGCACCAACTAGCGAGATCTGATTGACCTTGCTGGGTTCGGAACTGATGTGTGCGTGATTAATGATAATCAGCGATGAGTGCTTATAAAATGCAATAAAAGAAAGGCAACAGGATTTTTAAAGTGTCTGGCGAGGTTAACAGCCTACGTCCATTGATTTTTCTTATTCGATATATGAGCTTACAATGCTATTTCTATTAAAATTTTGTAACCCTTACCTCATCGTTTGAGGGGGCTTATATACAAGATTTGTGTAAAAGAAAGAGCGAAATCATGGGGATTACAATTGATTTGAATCTTAATCCCGATATCCTCATGATTGGACGCTGTGATTGTGCAATGATAATTATTGACTTAGTCATTCCCGCAATATCTGGGATCTGAAATAATCTGAAGATTGATTGAATGATTATTCGGATTATTCGCGACTTGCTTATGCTCTGTCGAGCTATGGCTCGATGAGTTTATGCTAGGTCGCTTAGTCATCGTCGTCGAGTTGGTTCTGGGTTGATCTATATCTTTGCAATGGCCTGAGTTTGGCTGAAAAATCATTATAAAGAAATTTTCGAACAAATATTCTACAAACATTTTTGGAATATTTTTTCAATAAAAAATTTTAGAAATGAAAAATTAATTTATCCCCACCAAAATCATCAGATCGAACCGCTATCATAATTCTGATAAACTCACCCAATAACAATATCCACCTAAGTACCAAACCTTTATAAGACAACAGAAATGTGCCGCCAATTCAGATGATTCAGAAAATTGTTACAGCAAGTAGAACCAAGACCCTCCTTTTACTCGCACGAAAATGCAAAACCTTAAACCAACTCAAGCAAATCCATGCCCACCTCCTCAAAACCTATTTATTCGAAAACCCTCTCGCCATCGGAACTCTCCTCTCTATTTGTGCTACCTCCAAAAACTCCTCTTTCTTCTCCTACGCTCGGTTGATTTTCGATCATTCTAGTGAAAGAAACACTTTTATGTACAATACCATGATTAGAGGTTATATGCAGTCTAATTTACCAAAACTTTCCGTTTTGTGCTACTTAAATATGTTAAATGTTGGGCTTGAGGCTAATAACTATACCTTTACACCGCTGATTAAAGCATGTACAATTCTTGGTCCTTCTTCGGAAATCATTGGGCGTTTTATACATGCCCATGTTGTTAAATTTGGATTCAGTTATGACCCTTTTGTTGCTAGCTCGTTAATTGAATTTTATTCGTTGGTTAATGAAATGGAAACTGCACGAGCGTTGTTTGATAAAAGTCTTGAGAGAGATGTGGTTATGTGGACGGCGATGATTGATGGATATGGCAAAATGGGAGATGTTCAGAATGCTAGAGCTTTATTCGACAAAATGCCTGAGAAAAATGCAATATCATGGAGTGCGATAATGGCAGCGTATTCTAGGATTAGTGACTTTAAAGAGGTGCTTTCTTTGTTTAGGCAAATGCAAGAAACAGGTGTGAAACCTAATGAGTCGGGTCTTGTTAGTGTTCTCACAGCGTGTGCTCATCTTGGGGCGCTGACTCAAGGTTTGTGGGTTCACTCGTATGCTAGACGGTACAATCTTGATAAGAATATGATTTTGGCCACTGCATTAGTTGATATGTATTCAAAATGCGGTCACGTGGAATCAGCTTTATCAGTATTTGAGGGGATCTCTAGTAAGGATGCTGCAGCGTGGAATGCCATGATTTCAGGCGTTGCAATGCATGGGGGCGCTAGGAAATCACTTGAACTTTTTGATAGAATGGTCATAAGCGGAACACAGCCCACGGAGACAACGTTTGTTGCAATCCTCACTACATGCACGCATGCAAGAATGGTTAAAGAGGGTCTTAAATTGTTTGAAGAAATGAGAAGCGTATATTGGGTTGAACCCCAGCTAGAGCATTACGCATGTGTTGTTGATCTCTTGGCAAGAGCAGGTATGGTGGAGGAAGCGGAGAAGTTCATAGAACAAAAAATGGGAGGGCTAAGAGGGGATGCCAATGTGTGGGGGGCGCTACTGGCCGCGTGTAGGATACATGAGAATGTTGAAGTTGGTAACAGAGCTTGGAAAAACCTTGCTGATATGGGAATAGCTGATTGTGGCACTTCTGTGCTTTCATATAATATGTATAAGGAAGCTGGGTGGGATATGGAAGCAAAGAGAGTGAGAAAATTGATCTCAGAGGCTGGAATGAAGAAGAAACCTGGTTGCAGTGTAATAGAGGTGGATGGAGTGGTTGAAGAATTCCTTGCAGGTGATACTCGTCACCTACAGACATCAGAAATATACAAGATGATTGATTCTTTTTCCAAAATGTCAAATTTTGAGGAACTAATGTGAAATATGGCTTTTCTAATAGAGGAAATATCTTTATTCATTTTCTTTTCTTCTTAAATAATTTAAAAGATTTTTAATGGAAAGAATCTAATAATTCTAGTTTTGATAGTCTTTTGTGATGAAAAGGAGTAATGCTACATAAACTGATTAGATATAAATATTACCATACATTCATGTTTTATTTATTTTTTAAATAGATTTTTAACTTTTGCTCTTTCAATTATTATATATTGTGTTTACAAGTGTAATATTATTCCATGAAAAGGGATTTATCATGTTTTTCTTGACCAATAACACCACCATGGTTTGGTTAAATATAGATATAAACACAATCACAATTCTCAAATGGGCAATACATTAATGTTGCCTGCCTCCTTTGTACCTGTCATTGGCTACCTTTATATTATTTTTTATTGACTTTTGTGCTCTGTGAAAACTCACTATTTTAGACAAATGGAAGTATCCAAATTACAAAAGGTTGTATCTAGATTCAAATTTTTATACAGATTAATATCATTCATTTTTGGTGCTTAAAACCTGTAAATTATCATGTCTATTGTAATGTGAAAGGAAAATTATTTGAAATTTTTGATGTCATGAGCTAATAATGACACTCATCCCAATGAGAAAAAAGAAAATGAATGCTAATGATAATCGGCGGAACTTTCTCACATGTATCTTCTTTTTAAAAAAAAAAAAAAAAAATTCCCTTTTCATCCGGCTGAGCTGATTCGGATAACAGTTGGAATTGGCTCAACAAGTCTAGTGTTCCTTTTGTTCGTCACGCAATGATTCCAAAAAGGCCTTTCTCTTTGGTTATCTGGAAAGCAAAAATAAGATGTAGATCGTCGGCAAGGGAATAATTATTAAAGGGAACAGGCCATCATTCTGATCTCTATTGCTTTGGACAAAAATATGAATCCAAACGGAGTGAGATTATATGAAGCAGTGCCATATGATAAATATGAGACTATATTGCTTTGGACTAAACTATGAATCCAAATGGAGTGAGACATGTAGCAGTACCATATGATAAATATGCGACATGCAAGGTTAAGTTTATAAGCATCCAGCAGCTTTTGCGGGTCAGTGTTGGTGATGCGTGATTCCATGAGACTTCTCATAGATTATGCAAACTAATAAACACTACATTTAAGTCCAGAATCAGCAACTTTAGTTACAAAAATACATTTTAGAAGGTCAAATTGTAAAAGGTATAGCATATACTCTGCACGGGAAGTAATTTCTCTTCCCCTTTAATTCCTCCTTTAATTCCTACACGGTTGTTATCTGTGCCGCTACCAATCTTATATTAATAAATGAAGAGAGGAGTGTTTATCTGCCCATCAAGTACTGGGGGAATGAGGGCTGCTTCACTGGAATTCTGGTGTCAGATGCAGTGGCTTTTATGAAAATCTTCGGCTGATAGTAAACCAGTGATAAGGCGTTTTAGCCTATCAGCACCAGGACCAGGCCTGAGTTTACTGGTGTTTGTCATGACATGATGTGGAGCACCCAAGTTTGAATTTCTTTCTTTACTGAACCATCCACCAGGTACATATCCATCAGCATTGCGACCCAGCAGTTCAGAATCAATCTTGTCAAGAATTGGCTCATTCCTGCCAAATTTCCTTGCAAAGGGGGCATTGCTTTCGACCATCCTCTGATAATCATCGGTAGTGAGGAAATGTGGGTGTTGTTTTGGAGGGTTGTCCCAAGATATGAAATGGAGGTCATGGTTTACAGTAGTATTCCGGAACTCTTCAGCATTACACATAACCGTATGAAAATATCCTTCGGGTGAAGATAGAAAGTTGGCATAATACATAAGGACTATCCTGGGGAGATTATCCCACCCCCACAAACAATATTCTAAGAAGGGATGCGAGAGCATCATCCAAGCAGAACCTGAAGAAATCAACAAACAAAATCCACAGGTATAAATAAAATAAAGTTTGCTAGAATTATGATTTGATGTTAGTTGCAACAGAACCTAAATACTTCCAATAAATGAAGATTGCAATGAGAAATGAAAAATAAAGAAAGGAGAAGAATTACATGCAAATTTTGGTAGATAGTTTCGAACATCACTGCAACAAATATTAATACATAAATCAAAGTTAATGTGCTTTTAGAATTTCCACACCCATCTGTATCTATAACAGCCTCATACAAATTGATGTAGGACAGATTTTCATAAATTAGGATTAGTTTTTATTTTTCTTTTTGTTATTAGATTTTGCATCACAAATTGTTTTTTTTTTTTAAAGATGCTTTTATTGGCATGGGAGAATGGATAGCCAGTTAGTACAAATGAAAAGTGTTTTGAGCTGTAGCTCAGCAATTTGAATCTACAAGATCCCAGTTGCATGTCAAATTTTTCTGATGCAACATTAGATCTGTAAAAACATGATCTTTTTTTCATGTCTGAATATTCAAGGTTAAATGAAATATGGAATCTGTTTGCCATATATCGCTTGCATTAATCCTAGAGGAAAAATGGTAAAAATACATCAGAACCTTTTTCATTAAGTTAGCAGCACAAGAACAAAAATCCTCACCTGTAAATAGCCTATATGCATTTGGAACACTCCGTTTCTGTGTGACCCAGAAGACATCAGATTTTCGCACACTATACAGTCCTGGATCAATTATAACAGGCCTGGCTCTCTGATGCCTGTTAAAAGAACATATATTTCTTATGCTTAATTGGACATAGCATTGTAGATATCTTCTACATTATCACCTAATCATTTCCCAAACACACAAAAACAAAAACAGAATGCTTAAAGACAAAGGAGGAAGCACATACTCCTTCCAACCGATGTCACTGGTATGCTCAATAAAATTAAGGTCTCGTGGAATAGTTGACAATATATGGAGCAAATCTGTTGAAGAAAAAAGAAACAATCATTAAATATATCGGAAAGCGACCTGGAGAGTAAACAGTAAATCAGCACTTCTTTTCCCATATATAGTGACCTAACTAGTCCAAAGGATTGGACAAAATTAGCTCTATATGAACAGAAATCTGAAACCAACAAATCAAGGACATTAATGCTGCGCAATATTAGCAACATCAGGAACAACAAGGTCGGTCAAATTAGATTACGATTTTGATTTACCAATCCCAAAACAATGTCGGGTTAATAGTCAACCATGTTAATTACAAATCAGCAAAACAAGAACAATGGAATTGGTAGAAATTGTTTATGAATCTACGAGTCAGCCCAAATTTTAAACTTGTGAATTCATGCTTAGAAATTTCAATCAAGAGGGAAACAAGTAAAAATTTAGCAACATCGACTTGCCCATTACCATATATACAGAACATTGACTTTCCCATTACCATATCTATAGAAAATTAAAATAAATAACAATGCAGTGGTTAAGATGATAAGCTATATCAACAGCAATAGGTAGTTACAAATACCTAAAGAAACAACTAGTTCAGATTCCATGCTAAAAACAGAATCACCAATCAAAGGCATCAGTGCAAATGGACATAACATTCTCACATAAAGAATAAAAAAGAAGCAGAAAACCCCGCATTGAATGGTGAACACATCAACTCCAAATCAGGCAAAATTAATGAAAGAAGCAACCATAAAACAAACAAATTAAGCCCGACATACCATCTTGTGTGATCAGAGGATAATCGGAAGCACTCAAGTTAATAAACCAATCCCAGTCCCCACCTTCCTTGAACAAAATGGCGGCGGCATGAAGCGTGTTAGTAACCATAGTTGGGCCTCTATAAGTCACCAAATTAGCCTTCAAAACCATCCTCACATTACCCACTTGCTTAAAAAGCGGCTCACTTTCAACAAAACTCGCCAACTCCATCCTCTCCTGAACAGAAGCCTCTAAATCCAAATGAACAGCATACTGATTCCTGGGATGATACAAAGCCTTCAAGGTTCTCCTCAAGCTATCACCATCTCCCTTTGATCCCGAAATCAAGTACGCCAATCTTGGTATCTTCTCAGATGACGTGGATAACACGTGCAGCTGTTGTTCAACGAATTTGGGACGTGGGTTCTGTACATAGGCGCGGTTGTAAAACCTTGCGGAGTTTGAAGAAAAGGAAACACTAACAACTATGAGAAGGGTGGATAGTAAGAGTGAAAAAACCAACGACAAGAACCACTTCTGCTTCTTCTGGCTCTGGGGCTTGATATTGTTGTTGTAATTCTCCATATTGAGAATGTTTTAACTTGGATGATTTTGATGAAGGTGCGTGTTACTGCAGCCTGCAGGTATGAAAGTGGGGGAGAAAGTGGGAACGGAAGCTGAGTAGGGAGATAAATACAAAGAGAGTGATTTGATTTGTTAAAAGATATATCGAATTAAATGGTGGGGTTGGATCACTGTACGTAATCTTTCTTCTCGGTTTTCACCTGGGCCTCTCGAAGTGAACTCTGCTTTTACATGCAATTAATAAAAGATTAGTTTTAATTAATTATTGAATTATTTCATTTTATTTGCTTTAATATATACTTCCATTTGGTTTTTCTAAGTCAGAATTGACTCCTTAGACTTCTGTACGTCAATACAAATGAAAAATTAATAGCAAGTCAACTTTAATTTTATATATAAATAGTATCTTTTCAACATAATATAAATGTAATCTTAAGACTACAATAAATTCTACAGAAGATGTAAGGCTTCGTGTGGTTCACAATTAGATGTTTTTGGAAAAAGTTTTCTGAAAAAAGTTAAAAAAAATTGAATTGGACGGGTATTACGATGTAGGATTTATAAATTAATAAAATACCCCCTATATTTGTTTATTTACAAAACACCCCTATAATAAAATCTTAAAAGTTAACAAAAATACCCCCAACCCAATGTCAAATACGGACAGCCGGCCACCACCGTCGGAGGGTGGCCGGGTTTACCGTATTGACGCATGACCGGTTGGATCTTGCCGGTCGTGCGCCGATATGGCCTTTGCTGGCCGGATCCACGATGGATCTGGCCGACAAAGGCCAGATCAACTGCCAGATCTGGCTGTATTTTCTCGTCAACGACGACCAACAAACGTTCGTCGTTGATGGTCAACGACGACCGTTTGTTGGCCGTCGTTATAAACCATTACGGCCAAAGATCTGGCCGTCAACGGCCAGATCTTTGGCCTTAGATCTGGTCTTTTCCGGCCAGATCTACCGTGGATCTGATCGAAAAATGTTAGATCGGTGCACTACCAGCCAGATTCAGCTGGTAGTGCACCATCCTAACAGATTCTGGCCATTTTCCGGCAGTGGTGGCCAGAATCTGGTAAATATGAATTACTGGGGTGTTTTTGTAATTTTTAAAAAAAATATTGAGGGGTATTTAATTAAATTATCAGTTATGACCCTTTTGTTGTCTAGCTCGTTAATTGAATTTTATTCGTTGGTTAATGAAATGGAAACTGCACGAGCGTTTTTTGATAAAAGTCTTGAGAGAGATGTGGTTTTGGGACGCAGATGATTGATGGATATGAAAATGGGAGATGTTCAGAATGCTAGAGCTTTATTCGACAAAATGCCTGAGAAAAATGCAATATCATGGAGTGCGATAATGGCAGCGTATTCTAGGATTAGTGACTTAAAGAGGTGCTTTCTTTGTTTAGGCAAATGCAAGAAACAGGTGTGAAACCTAATAGTCGGGTCTTGTTAGTGTTCTCACAGCGTGTGCTCATCTTGGGCGCTGACTCAAGGTTTGTGGGTTCACTCGTATGCTAGACGGTACAATCTTGATAAGATTATGATTTTGGCCACTGCATTGTTTGATATGTATTCAAAATGCGGTCACGTGAATCAGCTTTATCAGTATTTGAGGGGATCTCTAGTAAGGATGCTGCAGCGTGGAATGCCATGATTCAGCGTTGCAATGCATGGGGACGCTAGGAAATCACTTGAACTTTTTGATAGAATGTCTAAGCGGAACACAGCCCACGGAGACAACGTTTGTTGCAATCCTCACTACATCACGCATGCAAGAATGGTTAAAGAGGGTCTAAATTGTTTTGAAGAAATGAGAAGCGTATATTGGGTGGAACCCCACTAGAGCATTACGCATGTGTTGTTGATCTCTTGGCAAGAGCAGGTATGGTGGAGGAAGCGGAGAATTTCATAGAACAAAAAATTGAGGGCTAAGAGGGATGCCAATGTGTGGGGGGGCTGCTGGCCGCGTGTAGTACATGAATAATGTTGAAGTTGGTAACAGAGCTTGGAAAAACCTTGCTGATATGGAAATAGCTGATTGTGGCACTTCTGTGCTTTCATATAATATGTATAAGGAAGCTGGGTGGGATATGGAAGCAAAGAGAGTGAGAAATTGATCTCAGAGGCTGGAATGAAGAAGAAACCTGGTTGCAGGTAATAGAGGTGGATGGATGTGTTGAAGAATCCTTGCAGGTGATACTCGTCACCTACAGACATCAGAAAATACACAAGATGATTGATCTTTTTTTCCAAAATGTCAAATTTTGAGGAACTAATGTGAAATATGGCTTTTCTAATAGAGAAATATCTTTATTCATTTTCTTTTCTTCTTAAATAATTTAAAAGATTTAATGGAAAAGAATCTAATATTCTAGTTTTGATAGTCTTTTGGTGATGAAAAGGGTAATGTCACTAAACTGATTAGATATAAATATCCATACATTCATGTTTTATTTTTTTTAAATAGATTTTTAACTTTTGCTCTTTCAATTATTATTATAGGTGTTTACAAGTGTAATATATTCCATGAAAGATTTATCAGGTTTTTCTCTGACCAATAACACCACCATGGTTTGGTTAAATATAGATATAACACAATCACAATTCTCAAATGGGCAATACATTAATGTTGCCTGCCTCCTTTGTACCTGTCATTGGCTACCTTTATATTATTTTTTATTGACTTTTGTGCTCTGTGAAAACTCACTACTTTAGACATATGAAAGTATCCAAATTAAAAAGGTTATATCTACTTCAACTTTTTATACAGATTAATATCATTCATTTTTGGTGCTTAAAACCTGTAAATTATCATGTCTATTGTAATGTGAAAGGAAAATATTTGAAATTTTTGATGTCATGAGCTAATAATGACACTCATCCAATGAGAAAAAGAAAATGAATGCTATGATAATCGGCGGAACTTTCTCACATTATCTTTCTTTTTAAAAAAAAAAAAAAAAATTCCCTTTTCATCCCCTGAGCTGATTCGGATAACAGTTTGGAATTGGCTCAAACGTCTAGTGTTCCTTTTGTTCGTCACGCAATGATTCCAAAAAGGCCTTTCTCTTTGGTTATCTGAAAGCAAAAATAAGATGTAGATCGTCGGCAAGGGAAATATTATAAGGGACAGCCATCATTCTGATCTCTATTGCTTTGCTAAAATATGAATCCAACGGAGTAGATTATATGAAGTAGTGCCATATGATAAATATGAGACTATATTGCTTTGGACTAAACTATGAATCTAAATGGGGTGAGACTGTAGCAGTCCCATATGATAAATATGCGCCATGCAAGGTTAAGTTTATAGCATCCAGCAGCTTTTGCGGGTCAGTGTGGTGATGCGTGATTCCATGAGACTTCTCTAGATTATGCAAACTAATAAACACTACATTTAAGTCCAGAATCAGCAACTTTAGTTACAAAAATCATTTTAGAAGGTCAAATTGTAAAAGGTATAGCTATCTCTCACGGGAAGTAATTCTCTTCCCCTTTAATTCCTCCTTTATTCCTCACCGGTTGTTATCTGTGCCGCTACCAATCTTAATTAATAAATGAAGAGAGGAGTGTTTTACTGCCCATCGTACTGGGGGAATGAGGCTGCTTCACTGGAATTCTGTGTCAGATGCAGTGGCTTTTATGAAATCTTCGGCTGATAGTAAACCAGTGATAAGGCTTTTTTTAGCCTATCAGCACCAGGACCAGGCCTGAGTTTACTGGTGTTTGTCATGACATGATGTGGAGCACCCAAGTTTGAATTTTTTTTTCTTTACTGACCCATCCACCAGGTACATATCCATCAGCATTGCGACCCAGCAGTTCAGAATCAATCTTGTCAAGAACGGCTCATTCCTGCCAATTTCCTTGCAAAGGGGGCATTGCTTTCGACCATCCTCTGATAATCATCGGTAGTGAGGAAATGTGGGTGTTGTTTTGAGGGTTGTCCCAAGATATGAAATGGAGGTCATGGTTTACAGTAGTATTCCGAACTCTTCAGCATTACCCATAACCGTATGAAAATATCCTTCGGGTGAAGATAGAAAGTTGGCATAATACATAAGGACTATCCTGGGAGATTATCCCACCCCCACAAACAATATTCTAAGAAGGGATGCGAGAGCATCATCCAAGCAGAACCTGGAGAAATCAACAAACAAATCCACGTATAATAAAATAAAGTTTGCTAGAATTATATTGACGTTAGTTGCAACAGACCCTAAATACTTCCAATAATGAAGATTGCAATGAGAAATGAAAAATAAGAAAGGAGAAGAATTAACATGCAATTTTGGTAGATAGTTTCGAACATCACTTGCAACAAATATTAATACCTAAATCAAAGTTATGTGCTTTTAGAATTTCCACACCCATCTGATCTATAACAGCCTCATACAATTTGATGTGGACAGATTTTCCTAAATTAGGATTAGTTTTTATTTTTCTTTTGTGTTATTAGATTTTGCATCACAAATTGTTTTTTTTTTTTTAAAGATGCTTTTATTGGCATGGGAGAATGGATAGCCAGTTAGTACAAATGAAAAGTTTTTGAGCTGTAGCTCAGCAATTTGAATCTACAGATCCCAGTTGCATGTCAATTTTTCTGATGCAACATTAGATCTGTAAAAACATGATCTTTTTTCATGTCTGAATATTCAAGGTTATAAATATGGAATCTGTTTGCCATTATCGCTTGCATTAATCCTAGAGGAAAAATGGTAAAATACATCAGAACCTTTTCATTAATTAGCAGCACAAGAACAAAATCCTCACCTGTAAATAGCCTATATGCATTTGGAACACTCCGTTTCTGTGTGACCCAGAAGACATCAGATTTTCGCACACATACAGTCCTGGATCATTTATAAGGCCTGCTCTCTGATGCCTGTTAAAAGAACATAATTTCTTATGCTTAATTGGACATAGCATTGTAGATATCTTCTACATTATCACCTAATCATTCCCAAACACAAAACAAACAAACAGAATGCTTAAGACAAAGGAGAAGCACATACTCCTTCCAACCGATGTCCTGGTAGTCTCAAAAAATTAAGGTCTCGGTTGATAGGTTTTACACCACTTGAAGACATATCAAATGGTGTGGAGAGCATCCCCTCCGCTTTCATAGGACTCTTTCAGGGTGATAACATTGGAAAGAAGATTGTTTGTGTTGCACAAGATTGAAAAGGAAGACAACCCATTGTTCTTGATTTGTTCTCACTGGCAATGGCGTGGCTCATGTAAAATAGCTTGCGTTTAATAATCCAGTAAAACTTTCCCAGCAATCAATTGATCCCCATCTATAAAAATTTCATGGGGCCTTCTGTCACCAATTTTTTACCTAATAAGTCTCTTCAAATTTATCAATTTTATGATACAATTAACTTTTGAGAATGTTTTGATATTATTGATACAAAATTCTGCACCAACCAGCGAGATTCGATCGACCTTGTCGGGATCGGAACTGATGTGTGTGTGATTAATGATAATCAGTGATGAGTTCTTATAAAATGCAATAAAAGAAAGGCAACAGGATTTTTAAAGTGGTTCGGGGAGGTTAACAGCATACGTTCACTGATTTTTCTTATTCGTTATGTGAGCTTACAGTGCTATTTCTATTAAAATTTTGTAACCCCTCCCTCATCGTTTGAGGGGGCTTATATACAAGATTTGTGTAAAAGAAAGAGCGAAATCAAGGGAATTACAATTGATTTGAATCGTAATCCTGATATCCTCGCAATTGGGCACTGTGATTGCTCATCTCGGGCATCGAACACTAGGGGGTAAATGTTGTGTGTGATTTTTTTACCAAGCTCAGGCCATTGCAAAGATATAGGTCGACCCAGAACCAGCTCGGCGACGATGACTGAGCGACCCAACATAAGCTCGTCGAGCCGTAGCTCAACCCAACATAAGCTAGTCGCGAACAATCCAAGTAATCATGTAATCAATCTATGGATTACTTCAAATCCCAGATATTGTAGAATGACCAAGTCAACAGTTATCACTGCGCAATCATAGTGCCCAATCGCGAGGATATCGGGATTACGATTCAAATCAATTGTAATCCCCTTGATTTCACTCTTTCTTTTACACAAATCTTGTATATAGGCCCCCTCAAACGATGAGGGAGGGGTTATAAAATTTTAATAGAAGTAGCACTGTAAGCTCACATAGCGAATAAGAAAAATCAGTGGACGTAGGCTGTTAACCTCCTAGTGGGTGGTTTCCGCATTCTCGTGGTTTCCGATGGTAGTTTTAGTTCTAGTGTACACCATTTTGGCCCTAGAATTGGTAAATTGCGGTGAACATTTGCCGGAACCTTTGAGATGTTATTGGCCCTCCTTCTAGCGCCAAAATGTTGATACAAAATTATGCACCAACTAGCGAGATCTGATTGACCTTGCTGGATTCGGAACTGATGTGTGCGTGATTAATGATAATCAGCGATGAGTGCTTATAAAATGCAATAAAAGAAAGGCAACAGGATTTTTAAAGTGTCAGGCGAGGTTAACAGCCTACGTCCACTGATTTTTCTTATTCGCTATATGAGCTTACAATGCTATTTCTATTAAAATTTTGTAACCCCTCCCTCATCGTTTGAGGGGGCTTATATACAAGATTTGTGTAAAAGAAAGAGCAAAATCAAGGGGATTACAATTGATTTGAATCATAATCCCGATATCCTCACGATTGAGTGCTGTGATTGCGCAGTGATAATTGTTGACTCGGTCATTCCCACAATATCTGGGATCTGAAATAATTTGGAGATTGATTGAATGATTACTCGGATTGTTCGCGACTTGTTTATGCTGGATGGAGCTATGGTTCGATGAGCTTATGCTAGGTCGCTTAGTCATCGTCGTCGAGTTGGTTCTGGGTCGATCTAGATCTTTGCAATGACCTGAATTTGGCTGAGAAATCACACACAATAGATATTATAAAGAAATTTTCGAACAAATATTCTACAAACATTTTTGGAATATTTTTTCAATAAAAAATTTTAGAAATGAAAAATTTAATTTATCCCCACCAAAATCATCAGATCGAACCGCTATCATAATTATGAGAAACTCACCCAATAACAATATCCACCTAAGTACCAAACCTTTATAAGACAACAGAAATGTGCCGCCAATTCAAATGATTCAGAAAATTGTTACGGCAAGTAGAACCAAGACCCTCCTTTTACTCGCACGAAAATGCAAAACCTTAAACCAACTCAAGCAAATCCATGCCCACCTCCTCAAAACCTATTTATTCGAAAACCCTCTCGCCATCGGAACTCTCCTCTCTATTTGTGCTACCTCCAAAAACTCCTCTTTCTTCTCCTACGCTCGGTTGATTTTCGATCATTCTAGTGAAAGAAACACTTTTATGTACAATACCATGATTAGAGGTTATATGCAGTCTAATTTACCAAAACTTTCCGTTTTGTGCTACTTAAATATGTTAAATGTTGGGCTTGAGGCTAATAACTATACCTTTACACCGCTGATTAAAGCATGTACAATTCTTGGTCCTTCTTCGGAAATCATTGGGCGTTTTATACATGCCCATGTTGTTAAATTTGGATTCAGTTATGACCCTTTTGTTGCTAGCTCGTTAATTGAATTTTATTCGTTGGTTAATGAAATGGAAACTGCACGAGCGTTGTTTGATAAAAGTCTTGAGAGAGATGTGGTTATGTGGACGGCGATGATTGATGGATATGGCAAAATGGGAGATGTTCAGAATGCTAGAGCTTTATTCGACAAAATGCCTGAGAAAAATGCAATATCATGGAGTGCGATAATGGCAGCGTATTCTAGGATTAGTGACTTTAAAGAGGTGCTTTCTTTGTTTAGGCAAATGCAAGAAACAGGTGTGAAACCTAATGAGTCGGGTCTTGTTAGTGTTCTCACAGCGTGTGCTCATCTTGGGGCGCTGACTCAAGGTTTGTGGGTTCACTCGTATGCTAGACGGTACAATCTTGATAAGAATATGATTTTGGCCACTGCATTAGTTGATATGTATTCAAAATGCGGTCACGTGGAATCAGCTTTATCAGTATTTGAGGGGATCTCTAGTAAGGATGCTGCAGCGTGGAATGCCATGATTTCAGGCGTTGCAATGCATGGGGGCGCTAGGAAATCACTTGAACTTTTTGATAGAATGGTCATAAGCGGAACACAGCCCACGGAGACAACGTTTGTTGCAATCCTCACTACATGCACGCATGCAAGAATGGTTAAAGAGGGTCTTAAATTGTTTGAAGAAATGAGAAGCGTATATTGGGTTGAACCCCAGCTAGAGCATTACGCATGTGTTGTTGATCTCTTGGCAAGAGCAGGTATGGTGGAGGAAGCGGAGAAGTTCATAGAACAAAAAATGGGAGGGCTAAGAGGGGATGCCAATGTGTGGGGGGCGCTACTGGCCGCGTGTAGGATACATGAGAATGTTGAAGTTGGTAACAGAGCTTGGAAAAACCTTGCTGATATGGGAATAGCTGATTGTGGCACTTCTGTGCTTTCATATAATATGTATAAGGAAGCTGGGTGGGATATGGAAGCAAAGAGAGTGAGAAAATTGATCTCAGAGGCTGGAATGAAGAAGAAACCTGGTTGCAGTGTAATAGAGGTGGATGGAGTGGTTGAAGAATTCCTTGCAGGTGATACTCGTCACCTACAGACATCAGAAATATACAAGATGATTGATTCTTTTTCCAAAATGTCAAATTTTGAGGAACTAATGTGAAATATGGCTTTTCTAATAGAGGAAATATCTTTATTCATTTTCTTTTCTTCTTAAATAATTTAAAAGATTTTTAATGGAAAGAATCTAATAATTCTAGTTTTGATAGTCTTTTGTGATGAAAAGGAGTAATGCTACATAAACTGATTAGACATAAATATTACCATACATTCATGTTTTATTTATTTTTTAAATAGATTTTTAACTTTTGCTCTTTCAATTATTATATATTGTGTTTACAAGTGTAATATTATTCCATGAAAAGGGATTTATCTTGTTTTTCTTGACCAATAACACCACCATGGTTTGGTTAAATATAGATATAAACACAATCACAATTCTCAAATGGGCAATACATTAATGTTGCCTGCCTCCTTTGTACCTGTCATTGGCTACCTTTATATTATTTTTTATTGACTTTTGTGCTCTGTGAAAACTCACTATTTTAGACAAATGGAAGTATCCAAATTACAAAAGGTTGTATCTAGATTCAAATTTTTATAAAGATTAATATCATTCATTTTTGGTGCTTAAAACCTGTAAATTATCATGTCTATTGTAATGTGAAAGGAAAATTATTTGAAATTTTTGATGTCATGAGCTAATAATGACACTCATCCCAATGAGAAAAAAGCAAGAAAGAAAAGATGCTACTGATAATGGCGGGGGACCTTCTCCGCAATGATGGCTTCTTTACAGAACAAAATTTCCCTTTTCGGTACGGCTGAGCAGATTCGGATAACAGTTGGAATTGGGATCATAAGTGCAGGCTTCGTTCGATTGCATTTGGGAAATACTATTTTTATTATTCTCAAAAAAGAAACAATTAAAATACGTAAAAACTCAATATTATTCAACTTTTTTTAAACTACCTAAATATTGTTTGTTATTAATGAAATACCCCTAAATATTTTTTAAAAAATTATAAAAAATCTCAACAATCCACATTTATCAGATTTCGGCCACCATACGGGAAAATGGCCGGAAATTGATAGGATAGCGCACTACGATGAATTTGGCCAGTAGTGCTCCAATTAGCCTTTTCCGGCCAAATCCATGGTGGATTTGACCGGAAAATGACGATTGAGGCCCAAAGATCTGGTCTGTTGACGACCAGATCTTTGCCGTAACTAGTCAGTAACAGACGGCCAAGAATGAGCGTCGTTGACCATCAATGACGAGCCGGTTTGTGGGCTATGAGTTGATGAAAATATGCTAGATCTGGCTTTTGCCAACTAGATCTATTGTGGGATTTGGCGGGAAAAGGCCAGATCGGCGGCACGACCCACAGGTCTAGTCGATCATGCTCCGATACGACTACTCCGACACCCTCCGACGGGTAGTGGCCGGCTGTTCCTGTGTATTTGAGGGTGGGGTGTAGGGTATTTTTGTTAACTTTTATAGGTTTATTATAGGGAGTTTTTGTAAAAAAAAAACATAAGGGGTATGTTTATTAATTGGTAAATCCCACATCGTAAACCTGTCCAATCAACTTTTTTTACATGTTTTCAAAAAACTTTTCCCAAAAACACAAAATTTGTGAACCAAACGGAGCCCCTAAGAGTTCATTGTGTAGTCAACCAATGATTCCAAAAGAGAGAAGTGCAAGTCTCACAATAAAGACAAATACAAAAGGGATATACAAAGGAACCCATACTTGATCTTCATGATTTCTCTCTCTCTCTCTCTCTTCTCTTTTTCCGTTTTTTCTTTGTGTTTTCCTTTTCACTTTGTAACCTTCTTGTATAACGTCTTTGTAAGGATATGCATTTTTCGATTCCAAAAAGGCCTTTCTCTTTGGTTATCTGGAAAAGCAAAATAAGATGGAATCGTCGGTAAGGGAATAATTATTAAAGGTAACAGGCCATCATTCTGATCTCTTATTCTTTGGACAAAAATATGAATCCAACCGGAGTGAGATTATATGAAGCAGGGCCATATGAAAATATGAGACTATATTGCTTTGGACTAAACTATGGAATCCAAATGGGTGAGCATGTAGCAGTACCATATGATAAATATGCACCGCAAGGTTAAGTTTTATAAGCATCCAGCAGCTTTCTGGGGCAGTGTTGGTGATGCGTATTCCATGAGACTCTCATAGATTATGCAAAGTAATAAACACTAATTTAAGTCCAGCATCAGCAACTTTAGTTACAAAAATACATTTTAGAAGGTCCAATTGTAAAAGGTATAGCATATACTCTGCACGGGAAGTAATTCCTTCTTCCCTTAATTCCTACACGGTGTTATCGTGCCGTACCAATCTATATTATAAAGAAGAGAGGAGTGTTATCTGCCCATAGTACTGGGGGAAGGGCTGCTTCACTGGAATTCTGGTTCAGATGCAGTGGCTTTTATGAAAATCTTCGGTGAGTAGTAAACCAGTGATAAGGCGTTTTAGCTTTCGACCAGGACCAGGACCTGAGTTTACTGGTGTTTGTCATGACATGATGTGGAGCACTAAGTTTGGAATTTTTCTTTACGGACCATCCATGGTACATATCCTCAGCATTGCGACCCCAGCAGTTCAGAATCAATCTGTCAAGAATGCTCATTCCTGCCAAATTTCCTTGCAAGGGGGCATTGCTTTCGACCATCCTCTGATAATCATCGGTAGTGAGGAAATGTGGGTGTTGTTTTGGAGGGGTTGTCCCAAGATATGAAATGGAGGTATGGTTTACAGTAGTATTCCGGAACTCTTCAGCATTACACATAACCGATGAAATATCCTTGGGTGAAGATAGAAGTTGGCATAATAATAGGACTATCTGGGGAGATTTCCCACCCCACAAACAATATTCTAAGAAGGGACGTCGAGGAGCATCTCAAGCAGACCTGAGAAATCAACACAAAATCCACAGGTATAAATAAAATAAGTTTGCTAGAATTATGATTTGTGTTAGTTGCCACAGAACCTAAATACTTCCAATAAATGAAGATTGCAATGAGAAATGAAAAATATAGAAAGGAGAAGAATTACATGCAAATTTTGGTAGATAGTTCGAACATCACTGCAACAAATATTAATACCATAAATCAAAGTTAATGTGCTTTAGAATTTCCCAACGTCTGGATCTATAACAGCCTCATACAAATTGATGTAGGACAGATTTTCTAAATTAGGAGTATTTTATTTTTCTTTTTGTATTAGATTTTGCATCACAAATTGTTTTTTTTTTTTAAAGATGCTTTTATTGGCATGGGAGAATGATAGCCGTTAGTACAAATGAAAAGTGTTTTGAGCTGAGCTCAGCAATTTGAATCTACAAGATCCCAGTTGCATGTCAGATTTTTCTGATGCAACATTAGATCTGTAAAAAACATGATCTTTTTTTCATGTCTGAATATTCAAGGTTAATGAAATATGGAACTGTTTGCCAATATATCGCTTGCATTAATCCTAGAGGAAAAAATGGTAAAAATACATCAGAACCTTTTCATTAATTAGCAGCACAAGAAACAAATCCTACTGTAAATAGCCTATATGCATTTGGAACACTCCGTTTCTGTGTACCCAGAAGACATCAGATTTTCGCACACTATACAAGTCCTGGATCAATTATAACAGGCTGGCTCTCTGATGCCTGTTAAAAGAACATTATTTTATGCTTAATTGGACATAGCATTGTAGATATTCTACATTATCACCTAATCATTCCCAAACACACAAAAACAAAAACAGAATGCTAAGACAAAGGAGGAAGCACATACTCCTTCCAACCGATGTCACTGGTATGCTCAATAAAATTAAGGTCTCGTGGAATAGTGACAATATATGGAGCAAATCTGTTGAAAAAAAGAAAAAAAATCATTAAATAATCGGAAAGCGACCTGGAGAGTAAACAGTAAATCAGACTTCTTTTCCATATTAGTGACTAACTAGTCCAAAGGATTGGACAAAATTAGCTCTATATGAACAGAAATCTGAAACCACAAATCAAGGACATTAATGCTGGCAATATTAGCAACATCAGGAACAACATGGGCGGTCAAATTAGATTACGATTTGATTTACCAATCCAAAAACAATGTCGGGTATGTCAACCATGTTAATACAAATCAGCAAAACAGAAGACAATGAATGGAGTAAATTGTTTATGAATCTACGAGTCAGCCCAAATTTTAAACTTGTGAATTCATGCTTAGAAATTTCAATCAAGAGGGAAACAAGTAAAAATTTAGCAACATCGACTTGCCCATTACCATATATACAGAACATTGACTTTCCCATTAACATATCTATAGAAAATTAAAATAAATAACAAGCAGTGGTTAAGATGATAAGCTATATCAACAGCAATAGGTAGTTACAAATACCTAAAGAAACAAAATAGTTAGATTCCATGCTAAAAACAGAATCACCAATCAAGGCATCAGTGCAAATGGACATAACATTCTCACATAAAGAATAAAAAAGAAGCAGAAAACCCCCATTGAATGGTGGAACACATCAAATCCAATCAGGCAAAATTAATGAAAAGAAGCAACCATAAAACAAAACAAATTAAGCCCGACAACATCTTGTGGACAGAGGATAATCGGAGCACTCAAGTTAATAAACCAATCCCAGTCCCCACCTTCCTTGAACAAAATGGCGGCGGCATGAAGCGTGTTAGTAACCATAGTTGGGCCTACTATAGTCACCAAATTAGCCTTCAAAACCATCCTCACATTACCCACTTGCTTAAAAAGCGGCTCACTTTCAACAAAACTCGCCAACTCCATCCTCTCCTGAACAGAGCCTCTAAATCCAAATGAACAGCATATGATTCCTGGGATGATACAAAGCCTTCAAGGGTCTCCTCAAGCTATCACCATCTCCCTTTGATCCCGAATCAAGTACGCCAATCTTGGTATCTTCTCAGATGACGTGGGATAACACGTGCAGCTGTTGTTCAACGAATTTGGGACGTGGGTTTTGTACATAGGCGCGGTTGTAAAGCCTTGTGGAGTTTGAAGAAAAGGAAACACTAACAACTATGAGAAGGGGGGATAGTAAGAGTGAAAAAAACCACGACAAGAACCACTTCTGCTTCTTCTGGCTCTGGGGCTTGATATTGTTGTTGTAATTCTCCATATTGGGATGTTAACTTGGATGATTTTGATAAGGTGCGTGTTACTGCAGCCTGCAGGTATGAAAGGGGGGGGAGAAAGTGGGAACGGAAGCTGAGTAGGAGATAAAATACACAAAGAGAGTGATTTGATTTGTTAAAAGATATATCGAATTAAATGGTGGGGTTGGATCACTGTACGTAATCTTTCTCCTCGGTTTTCACCTGGGCCTCTCAAAGTGAAAACTGCTTTTACATAAAAGATTAGTCTTAATTAATTATTGAATTATTTCATTTTATTTGCTTTAATATATACTCCATTTGGTTTTTCTAAGTCAGAATTGACTCCTTAGACTTGTGTACGTCAATACAAATGAAAAATTAATAGCAAGTCAACTTTAATTTTTTATATAAATAGTATCTTTTCAACATAATATAAATGTAATCTTAAGACTACAATAAATTCTACAGAAGATGTAAGACTTCTGATTTAGAAAAATAATAGTATATTGATGGTGACATTAAATTTTTTAAGTACAAAGTATATAACATTTTGAGAAATGTTTATATAAGAGAGATTTATTTACAAAATTGATTCCCGTTAGAAGATTATTTTGAGTGTGTAAAATATTGATTTGAAATGAAAGTCAAGTTGACTTAAGTGTAGCCATAATTATTCACGGAATTGATCGAGCGAAATGAGGGCCAGCAGCCACGCATTTGGGTTTGGCTTTAATATGGGGGCGGTGCCGGTGGTGTGACACAAACTTCATAATTGTGGGCATGGTTAGGTGGGCAGCACTTTTTGTGGTTACACATGCATATCACTCATCTTCCATTAATTAATAATTCCATTTTAGATAATGTGTCAACATCAGTGTACGACATTTTTTTGTTTATAAGGAGCATTAATTTCTAGTTTCAGGTTATTAATAAAAAAATTGATCAGCTATATTGACATATTTTGATATTCAGACATCAATTGATTCGCAAAACCAATTAAGAGTTACCCAACAGATTAAATGCACAGCTATCAAAAGCATCAACACTGCATATCATTCAAATCAGAAATCTATTCTTGTCCCACCAAATTAAGGGCGGAAGTAGCCCAAGTCCATTATTTCCTGGGTCTACTGGGATCCAGAGAAAACTTTACCAAATTGATCAAATTTACATGAGATTTTCAAAAGAAAAAAACTGGAGCACTTACAACATCAAACTCAATCAAAAATATCGATTTCATAGGACCTGTTTGGTACATTATTTAAAATATGGTATTCTAAAAAGTTATTCTGAATAGGATAAAATTAAATTAAATAAGATAAGATTATGAGAATATGTTTGGTACATTTTTTTTAAACATTTTCTGAAAATATTTAGATGATTTTCTAACCCTTTACATTTGTTAATTTAGCTAAACACCCTCCAACAATAAAAAATTATAAATTAACAAAAACACTCATATTCACTCACTTGACTACCAGTAGCTGGCTACCAGTGCCGGAAAGTGGTCTACAGTCACCAAAATGGCACACGACCGGTTAGATCTAGTTGGTCGTGAGCCAATCTAGCCATTTCCGGTCAAACATACCGATCGTGCATCGATCTGGCCATTTCCAACCAGATACACCGGTCGTGCATCGATCTGATATTTTTCGACTAGAACCACCGTGTATCTGACTGAATATAGCTAGATCTACGACGAAAATATGACTATTGTCAATGGCCAGATAGATCTAGCCATCAATGGTCAAATCTCAAGCCATAGATTTGGTTGGAAATGGCTAGGTAGGCCAAATCCGATCGATCATGCGTCGTTCTGATGTCGGCTGACGGTGTTAATTGGTGACCGACAATGGGTTGGGTTAGTATGGGTGTTTTTGTTAATTTATAAATTTTTATTGTAAAAGGTACGTAATTGTATCTTTTGAGTTAAATAGAATAAAATTAGATTTTGAATTGAATTCCGTAAATAAAGAAACAAATGCGTTTTTTACTATTTACAATAGGATAGATAGGATAAAATTTGAAAAGTGTACCAAACAAGGGGAATAGGGATACATTTTCAAGATTACAAACCCGGAAAAATCCCCAAAACCCCAATTCATTGACAAGCCTGGAACTTCTACTTTACTTTGAGGAAAAGTAGAAGGAGATGCAATTCTTGGAACGAGAAGATTTAATTTGTTTGTAGGTGATGGAATATATTACTTTGTTTTCGGGATCTTCCAAATTCCAATTGCAGAGATGTTGAACGTTAATCCAGAGAAGGGTTTTAATTAAACTCTAATCCTATGGGTGTTAGGCAGGAGTGCCGAGTGAAATCATACCCCTCTTGTTCATTCTTTTTGAGATAAATATTTTATACTATTAATATTACATAATTAATCGTTAAAAATATTAAAAAATAAAAGTGATGACTACCTATATTCATGACTTTAGCTCAACCGTAACTGCTAAACAGTTGATGTGTTGCTATCCCACTGATAAGTTTTCGTTCTCATGCATGTGTTTGAATTCTATAAAAACTCCAAATCTCACTCACTCAACTACAAAAACCAAACACTTAACAACCAAATTAATTAACCCTACTGGTTATTCCGTTGCCAACTCCAACATCTCGTCAATGGGGAACGGCGGCGAAGCCTCAAGCTCAACTACCACCTCCACACTCTCCCATGGTGTTCTCAAAAAAGTCATCCTCGTATATGCATATGTAGCCCTATGGATCTTCCTCTCCTTCACCGTCATTGTTTACAACAAGTACATTCTCGACCCCAAAATGTACAACTGGCCTTTTCCCATTTCTTTAACTCTAATTCACATGGCCTTTTGTTCTACTCTGGCTTTCGTTCTCGTTCGAGTCCTCAAATGTGTTGAGGTGAATTCCCTCCCCATGACTCGCCAAATCTACATGGAGTCGGTTGTCCCCATTGGAGCTCTCTATTCCCTCTCCCTCTGGTTCTCCAACTCTGCCTACATTTATTTATCTGTTTCCTTCATCCAAATGTTAAAAGCTGTAATGCCCGTCGCTGTTTACTCCATTGGCGTGCTCTTCAAGAAGGAGAATTTCAAGACAAATGTTATGGTTAATATGCTCTCCATATCGTTCGGTGTGGCCATTGCTGCTTATGGCGAGGCTAGATTCGATATTTGGGGTGTCTTTTTACAGTTAGGAGCCGTTGCTTTTGAAGCTACAAGATTGGTTATGATTCAGATTTTGCTTAACTCAAAGGGTATTAGTTTAAACCCAATTACTTCACTTTACTATGTTGCACCTTGTTGTTTCGTGTTCTTATTAATGCCCTGGATGTTCATGGAGTTGCCACTGTTGACAGAGACGTCAACTTTTCATTTCGACTATTTGATATTTGGGACGAATTCGTTTTGTGCGTTTGCGTTGAATTTAGCCGTGTTCTTGTTGGTGGATAAGACTTCGGCCTTAACTATGAATGTGGCGGGTGTTGTTAAGGACTGGTTGTTGATTGCATTCTCTTGGTCCGTAATTAAGGATAAGGTGACGCTCATGAATTTGTTCGGATACGGAGTTGCTTTTATGGGGGTTGCTTATTATAATCATACCAAACTGGTAGCTCTCAAGGAGGCAGAAGCGCAGAGAAGAGCTCAAGCAGCCGATAAGGAGGCCGCTGGTAGGTTGATGGACCAACACAACGAAGAGAACTGAAGCCATTTGATAACACAATATCGAAATCTACATTTTTATTTTAGTTTTTGTTTATTTATTTATTTATTTGTATGGGTTGACAAAGACAGGAAATCGTTAATCATATGATACAACTTTGAGGGTAACTTTTTATCTTGTGGGTTTATTAGAGGTAGAAGTAATCTTGTAACTGTATGCTTGCCTCTTACTATTGCAACAAACCAAATTAGAGAAATGAAAGAAAAAGATACAACTAATTAAATTATCTGGGAGGGACATCAACATCAACTTCTCTATCAATCTTTTCAGTATTTTCACCGTGATTGGGCTTTTACTTTGTGGCACATACAAGGAAAAGTCCTAAGTTTAAAAGGCTACAAGCCCATAAAAATAATCCAGTCTGCCATCATTAATCCCATAAATGATTAAAAATGTAATTGACATAGCAGCCGCCTGTTTGGTCCTATCAGCTGGATCACCCTTTGTAATCAACTACATCTGAGATAAATGAATCCATCTTCCTTTAAAAATTAAAAAAAACATAATTTTCTGATGAAGAAATTTAAACATAAATAGCTGAGTCCAGTATTAGCAATTTCATTGTGTTAAAGTGTTAATGAAGGTGTCTATATATCGGGTTTTGAGTGACAGATGGTGAAAAACGAAGATTTTCTAAATGAAGCAGGTGTAAATTTGCTATAATAAAGTAAGAATTGTAAGTTAAATATGTCATGGAAAAAAGTAAAAAAGAAATTATAAAATGGATTAAAGCAAATAGAGAAGGATTGTCCACCTAATGCAGCCTAGTGATCTTAAATTGAAATTAACTTACCAACGAAAGAAATTTGGATTCAAGGCATATTTGGCCCAAAAAACTAATACAAATCTGCAAACATATTTAATTCCCACCTCTGACTTTCGCTAAGCGTTCAGGGCCTTCAGGCGCTCCAGCTCCAGGCTTTGTAATGTATAGATGTCAATAACACGAGGATATCCTTAATTCTTATTATCTTCACCACTGTTTCACTAAAAATGGAATTCACTGAGCACAGCTTGTGGGCATTTATGTATATATATATATATAGTGACGTCAATGCTTTAAATATGTGCACTATTTTTGTTTTTGTTTTTTTAATGACCCGGGTGTCCACTAGTTTGTATTTATCTCAATTAGTCTTTTGAGACCTTAAAATTGTCAATTAGGTTAGAGATCTAGTACCCACTCCTATTAATAGCCGTGAGACTTGAACCTTAGGACCTTAGAACTATCGGCCTAATAAGAGCTCCTGTGGCCACCCTTATTAAGGGTTATGAGGACTTGAATTCGAGAGACATGTTAGATCCCCCTCTTACTCTTTTACTATTAAGGGGGACTCGAACTTAAAAGATTATATTAGGTCCTTATTCGCTTTTTTACTATCAGACCACCTGGTAGTTGTTAAATGTGTGCACTCTATTCTCAAAGGAAACCTGAACAAATGATTTATTTATTTATTTGTAAATTATCAACTACTTACCAGGCTTAATATAAGCATATAGCTGCGTTACGATTTTACTTTATTTTTTCCAATGATAATAGAATTACTATTTGGACATGTGTTTTTTATATGCTCTCTCTAGATCCCATCTGTAAAATTATACATCCAATAGACAACAAACAAAACCATCATAATTGCTGAATATATTCTGTGTTTTGTCAATTACGAGCCCTCTGAATGTCTTCAATTACACTTGAAGTTCAATTCATATATTTCCTTATTGTGATAAAGCAATCACCATAATTCATGTCATGAGCTTAACGTAAACAGGGTAGGCAAAGATGACAAGTGATTCCACAAAGAATAAGAAAGAGGTGAATAATGTTCATGAACTATTGAGGAAATCAAAATCCCCAAAATCAATCTTATTAAACATTCCATTCCATATTTGATTTGACAGCAAAAGGCAAGTAGAAACAGGATTTTAAGGCTTATATGACAAGAAAAGAACCTTTCATGGCAACATTGAGTAAGCCCCACCTGGACAGAAGAGATGAGTTGTTCATATTCTGGGAAGAATATGCTTTTGAGTTGATGGTGAGTATGTGATCTTCTGCAAAAGTAGACGCCTTTTCCAACTCACTAATATTCCAAATATGGGGCACAGAATCCACCGACTTCTGTTCAGCTATAGGCGACCTGTTTCTATCGTTAAATATTGTATATCATATTTTCGTTGAAAAATATGATATTGTAAATTATCATATTTTCGTTGAAAAATATGATATTGTTAATTATCATATCATATAAGACTTTAAAGATGGTTAATGTAATCCAAGCTTTACACCAGCATTTTTAACTTAAAATATATATAAACTATTTGTATTGATGAGACAATCTAATAGAAACAATCTCTCACAATATGATATATGACTATTTAACGAAAGGGTTATATATATTATAGAAAAAATGTAGAGATATAAAATGATGTATTAACCACTTGCTTTAATGGTTTGTAGCTGAATGGTAAGACCTTAGTTTATCCAAATGTTTTGTGTTTGAGTTTTACTAAGTGATCAGTTATCATATTTGTAACTTACTCTGGTCCATTGTTCGAGGATTAGTTGACTTACACGTAAATTGACTCGAATGCCTCAATCATCAAAAAAATAAATAAAATGATGTATTTTAATGTATTCATATTATATGTTGACATTATTCCATTCTCTTATCTTTGTAAGAATATTTATATGTCAATTTATTGATCCAAATTAAAAGACTTTCCATGTTCATATCCAAAATTATATATCTATTTATGCATCTAAATTCTTGGGGCGTATATTGGTAAAACATTTTTTTTAATAGTTATCTACAATAGGGTTTAGTTTTCTCAAACAACATAATNGAAGTCATGAGCTAATAATGACACTCATCCCAATGAGAAAAAAAGAAAGAAAGAAAAAGAATGCTAATGATAATCGGGGGGACTTTCTCACATGCATCTTCTTTTCAAAAAAAATTTCCCTTTTCGTCCGGCTGAGCAGATTCGGATAACAGTTGGAATTGGCTCATCAAGTCTAGGCTTCGTTCGATTGCATTTTGGGAATACTATTTTTATTATTCTCAAAAAAGTTAAACAATAAAATACGTAAAAACTCACAATATTATTCAACTTTTTTTAAACTCCCTAAATTTGTTAATTTAATTAAATACCCCTAAATATTTTTTAAAAAATTATAAAAACATCTCAACAATCCACATTTATCAGATTTCGGCCACCACTACTGGAAAATGGCCGGAATTTGATAGGATAGCGCACTATCGACTGAATTTGGCCAGTAGTGCTCCAATCTAGCCTTTTCCGGCCAAATCCATGGTGGATTTGACCGGAAAATGCCAGATCTGAGGCCAAAGATCTGGTCGTTGACGACCAGATCTTTGGCCGTAACTAGTCAGTAACGACGGCCAATGAATGGTCGTCGTTGACCATCAATGACGACGGTTTGTTAGCTATCGTTGAATAGAAAATACTGCTAGATCTGGCTTTTGCCAACTAGATCTATTGTGGATTTGGCCGGAAAAGGCCAGATCGGCGCACGACCCACAAGGTCTAGTCGATCATGCTCCGATACGACTACTCCGACCACCCTCCGACGGTAGTGGCCGGCTGTCCGTATTTGAGGGTGGGTTTAGGGTATTTTTGTTAACTTTTAATGTTTTATTATAGGGGGTATTTTGTAAAAAAAAAACATAAGGGGTATTTTATTAATTGGTAAATCCCACATCGTAATACCTGTCCAATTCAACTTTTTTTTAACTTTTTTCAAAAAACTTTTCCCAAAAACACAAAATTGTGAACCAAACGGAGCCCTAATGTTCATTTTGTTAGTCAACCAATGATTCCAAAAGAGAAGTGCTAGTCTCACAAAGACAAATACAAAAGGGATATACAAAGACAACCCATACCCTTGATCTTCATGATTTCTCTCTCTCTCTCTCTCTTTCTCTTTTTCCGTTTTTTCTTTGTTTTTTCCTTCACTTTGTAACCTTCTTTGTATACGTCTTTGTAAGGATAGCATTTTTCGATTCCAAAAAGGCCTTTCTCTTTGGTTATCTGGAAAGCAAAAATAAGATGTAGATCGTCGGTAAGGAACTTGATTCCGTAAAGGTAACAGGCCATCATTCTGATCTCTATTGCTTTGGACAAAAATAGTGAATCCAAACGGAGTGAGATTATATGAACAGTGCCATATGATAATATGAACTATATTGCTTTGGACTAAACTATGAATCCAAATGGAGTGAGACATGTAGCAGTCCCATATGATAAATATGCACATGCAAGGTTAAGTTTATAAGCATCCAGCAGCTTCATGGCGTGTGTTTGGATGCGTATTCCATGAGACTTCTCATAGATTATGCAAAGTAATAACACTATATTTAAGTCCACATCAGCAACTTTAGTACAAAAATACATTTTAAGGTCAATTGTAAAGGTATAGCATATACTCTGCACGGGGAAGTAATTCCTCTTCCCCTTTATTCCTACACGGGTTGTTATCTGTGCCGCTACCAATCTTATATTAATAAATGAAGAGAGGAGTGTTATCTGCCCATCAAGTACTGGGGGATGAGGGCTGCTCCTGAATTCTGGTGTCAGATGCAGTGGCTTTTATAAATCTTGCGCTGATAGTAAACCAGTGATAAGGCGTTTTAGCCTTTCAGCACCAGGACCAGGCCTGAGTTTACTGGTGTTTGTCTGACATGATGTGGAGCACTCAAGTTTTGAATTTCTTTCTTTACTAACCTTCCACCTGGTACATATCCATCAGCATTGCGACCCAGCAGTTCAGAATCAATCTTGTCAAGAATTGGCTCATTCCTGCCAAATTTCCTTGCAAAGGGGGCATTGCTTTCGACCATCCTCTGATAATCATCGGTAGTGAGGAAATGTGGGTGTTGTTTTGGAGGGTTGTCCCAAGATATGAAATGGAGGTCTGGTTTACAGTAGTATTCCGAACTCTTCAGCATTACACATAACCGTATGAAAATCCTTCGGGTGAAATAGAAGTTGGCATAATACATAAGGACTATCCTG